TCGGACGCTTAACCGACTGCGCCACCCAGGCGCCCCCAAATCAACTAACTTCTAGTGTCCAATACTAATCCCTAAAATTCCTTTTCTCTCAATTAAGAAAAAAAAAAAAGTGGACACATCTCGCTGGTAGGACATGGAAGCTTCTCCAACTACAGTAACACTGAGGGAGCACGTTGGGGAAATGAGGAAGAAGACGATACAAATAGGAAGCAAAGGTAGAAATACAAAGCAGGCTATATAAACACAATGTAACAATGTCATCCCCACCTGCAATCCAGCGGAAGTCTGTAAGTAAAACAGTATAGAGGCTTCTCTTTACTCGAAAGATAAGAAAAACTCCTCAAACTGCTTACAAGGCCCTGTGGCCCACCTCTCCAGCTCCCTCCCACCAGATTCTTCCAACACTCTTCCTGTTCTCTACATAGAGCTGCACCCTAAATCCTCAGTCCTCCCCATGAACGCCTGTGCTGTCCTGTCCTGTCCTTTGCCTGTGCTGTTGGGTCTGACTCGAACACTCTTCCTTTCCTGTGCATCCTTCAGATCTTAGTTCAAATGTCGTTCCCGTGACTTCCCTAAATCAAAAAAAGAAAAGAAAAAAATCTGCAGTTTCACATCCGTGTGATTATTTGGTATCATCTGCTGAAGACAGGAGCCACGGATGTGTTCACTCTCCCCCATTTCCAACAAAAGCACAATGCACCAAATAGGCACTCAAGTACTTTTAAAAAAGTGAATAAATGGCCACTAAAACTATAAGAAAGCAATAAAACACTGTAAGAGGTCTCCTTAATGAATCTTTGAAGGACATCCAAAGCAACTGAGCCAAAAATCCCTATTCAACTCCTACGGGGGAAAAAAAAAAGTCAATTCAGATGCCTGTATCAATTTCTCCGGTCCTTCTATGTCCCTACGCAAATGCTGAGCATCAAAGGCTGATGGGTAAAACATACAAACACACACACACATACACTGCAGATAAAGCAAAACTACTCCTTGTTGAGTAACCTGTTTTTGGTATTTCTTGATACAATGCCTCCTACATAGGAAGCACTCTGGAAATAGCTGTCAAATATTAAAAGCAACATTTCACAAAACTCTTAAGTATATAGGAACTAGTAACTAACTTTACTGAAAACTGTGGTGTCTCACATAAAAGTAAGACCATCACAAAAGGAATGAATCTCTTCAGTGGCAAAGCCTCCTGATATTAACCATATTCATTTAGATCTCAAACAGAAAAAAACGCCAGACTGATTTTTACTAAGAGTGAAATAGAATCAAGTGACCATAGAGCTTTAAATAAGGACTACAAAATGTCACGCGCACACTTAACATACGAAACTGTTTAGGATGCCCTGTCCCCTCCAATACAAACACAAATTGTACCTATACTTTAGAGATATAATCCATAAACATGTTACAGAAAACTCCAGCCCATACTGCTCTCTCCTCTGATTCTGTATTTAAACAAATGCTATTTTGTAGTTTTTCCAATAACTTAATGTGTACGGTCTCTTATTTTGTATCCTTTCACGTACCTAGAACACTGGGCGTGCTGGTTGAACACTATACCGTGCTGATTAATGGATTTTGCTATCGAAATTCCTGCACTTTTATTCCCAAATGTCATTCCCAAAAATTGTTCGCATGCCTGCTTTAACTCTTTCATCATTAACGTTTGTTTATTTTTGAGAAAGAGAGAGGGGGGAGGGGCAGAGAGAGAGGGAGACACAGAATGTGAAGCAGGCTCCAGACTCTGAGCTGTCAGCACAGAGCCCGATGCCGGCCTGGAAGCCAACCATCCTGAGATCGAGACCTGAGCTAAAGTCACTCAACTGACTGAGCCACCTAGGCGCCCCTAACTCTATCATCATTAAATATAAAATTGTTACCTAACAATGTTCAAATAAGGTTTAGAGTTTTCTTAGTACCACACCTACAAACTCAATAAAGGGAGGTTTTCAGGATCACTGTGTCTTTTCAAATGCAAATCAGAGATATTAACAACACCTGCCCCTACTTTTTTCAACGCAGCAAAATTCACTTGAAATGTTTCCCAAAGGTAATCAGTCCCAGGGAGAGTTCCTTCCGTAGAAAATTGGAAGACACAAAATCTAAGCTACATAATACTAACCGCACATCAGTAAAAACAGGGAACCTAATCCCCGGGAAACGGTCAGTTGAAAATATTCAATTACAAGAGTCTCCACGATCAACAAAGCAGATAAAAGACATCGCTTTGGCAAGCGCAAAGCAGCAGGCAAACAGCAAGCATTCTAATTAAGCGGCTGCCATTCCCGGCTCCTCAAGGGTTCCATCCCTGCCAGTCCCAAACACCTGTATCTGGACCCATAAGAACGCGTCCACAGGTGACCCGAGCCTCGGGAAGCGTCCTCTCCACAGCAACAGGCTCTGCTTAATTCTGGTTTTCTTATCCGCGCCCCTAACGGGGCTACGAGAGAGGGCCGGCGGGACCCCGCGCGAGGAGCCGGGCCTGACAGGCCCTGTCGGCCGGGAGCGGGGGAGAGGGGGGCGTGAGGTGGGCAGGGGCGACGCCGGAGCCGGGGAGCGATGCCCGAGGCGGAGGGCGCTCGCCCAGGACCGGCGCCGCAGGTACCCCGCTAAGCGCTGCGGAGACGTGGCAGGTCAGACCCGGGGCCGGTCCAGGGAAAGGGTCGAGGCGGGGCGCGCGGAGCGGGGGCGGGGAGGCCTCACCGTCGCTCCCGGGAGGCTGGCGCCGCCGCGGTCCCGCAGTTGCTAAGGAGAATACTCTTCCGGGTCAGGGGCGCCGCTGTATAGAAAGCAACGGTGGCCGGACGGGGCCAAGAACGCCGCGTGCCTCGGGAGCGCGGCGGAGACGGTGGTCGGCCGTCGTTCCTCTGCGGTGGAGGTGGCAGGAGTTGGCGAAGGGCCAACGCGACTTCTGTGGCCTCGCCTCGCGGGGGCGATGAACTGTAGCCGGTGGCCCTAGCTGGGCGACCCCGGCCGCCGCGGCCCCCTGCTCGAGAGCCAGTCAGCTGCGGGAGCCCTCCCGCCCCTGCGCGGGAGCCCTTCCAGCCCGGGTTCGCGCCCTGCTTCCAGTCCGGGTTCGCGCCCTGCTTCTAGGCCCCCCGGATGTAGCCACGCCCGTCCTTTCCTGGCACAGGGCTTTACTCATTCTTTCGTTTACTAGATACTTGGTTGTTGGACACCTGCTCAAGGCTCGGGGCAGGGCTGACACTGGAGATGCAGGGATGGGCAATCCAGGCGGGGTCCCTGCCGCCAGAATGTGCAGACTGGTGGGAGCGCGGGCAGACAGATACGGCTTACCTGGGTGGGCTAAGTATGGGAAGCTGTGGGAGCCTACCCGGACTCGGGTAGGGAAAAGGTTACTTCAAGCAAGTAAGAGGGTAAGGAGGAGTGTTTCAGGTACGAGAGTAGGCTCGTTTGAGATACCGACCGAAAGATCAGTGTGGCCTGCCCAGGGAAGTGCGTAGACAGGAAAGAATGGAGCCCAGAAAACAAAACCATGATGTTTTCATGTTGTGAACAAAGGAACAGGAACCTCCAAAGAGCGTTCAGAATGTTCCTTGAAAGGGGTACCTGGCTGGTTCAGTCGGTAGAGCATGTGACTCTTGATCTAGGGGTTGTAAGTTTGAGCCCCACTAGGGGTGTAGAAATTACTTAAAAATAAAATACTAAAAAACGAAAACAAAATTAGAACGTTTGGTTGAAGGACTGCTGAGAAGACAGTGGGAGAGGAAAGAATTCCAGTAAGGAGGTGGTCACCAGTGTCAAATGCTGTGAAGATCAAGTGCCTAGTGGTGACCATAAAAAATCAAAATTCAGGAATAGGGCGTCAAAGTCGACGGTAGCTTGAATCTGTGTAGTGAAGGAGTCCACCACCATGTGCTCCACATTAAGACAAGGAAAAGAAATACATTAAATTGTTCCTGAATGCCTTAATGTTTTTTAAAGTATTTGTAAATTTCGGGATTCTTCTAATACCTGAAGTTCTTGAAGGTGGGAAATATTTGTTTAATCTTGGGTCTCCAGTGCTTGCCGCAAAGAAAAGCCTTAATCACTGTTTGTTTAAAGAATAAATGAACCCACGAGCCTTTGATTTTTAATGCACACACAGGTCTGAATCCTCAGCAAGACTGTGATGTAGGCAAACCTTGTCTATTCAAACTGTAGATGATGGAAGAAGCCCAGCAGGGTCAGGAAGCAGAGGATGGCAAAGGATTCAATGGGAGGGAGGAGCCCCAATGGAGCCAGGGATGGGAATACCCAGAAAGGGGAAAGAACAAAGTTTTGATAACATAAAAACTGGGGTTTCAGAGCCAGAAATGGGAGATGAAGCCAAGGAAACCAAAAATATTAGAAGCAGGAATAGAAGGGGCCCCTGGGTGACTCGGTTGGTTAAGCATCCAACTTCGGCTCAGGTCATGATCTCGCGGGTTCATGGGTTCGAGCCCTGCCATTGCGCTCTGTGCTGACAGCTCAGGGCCTGGAGCCTGCTTCGGATTCTGCCTCTCCCTCTCTCTCTGCCCCTCCCTTGCTAGCGCGCTCTCTCTCTCTCTCTCTCTCTCTCTCTCTCTCTCTGTCTCTCTCTCTCTCTCTCTCAAATAAATAAACATTAAAAAGTAGAAGCAGGTGTAGAAGAGCAAAGGAAGGACAATTATTGTATGTAAGTTCCACAGGCAGATCCCATTTGGGGACAGCTGGCAGAAAGTGTGTCAGCTAGTGTGAAGGCTACAGGGCTGGGTGGACATCATCTAAGTAGAATGAGCTCTGGGCTTCCTCATGTGGGCAAAAGGAAAGGGTGAAAGGCTTGCCCCACAAGCATACCTCCAGTCCAGAACCAGTACATTCTCATTATATCAAGTATTACAACAAGCTCACTCAGAAGAGAAATATTCTTCTCTAAGAGACTACAAGTCTACCCACAATGGATGTGACCAACCATCTGTGAGAGTAAACCATGAAATTTGAAACGTGTGGCTGAAGAGTTTAGGAACACCCAAAATATCAGCCAAGGGACGCTAGGTGTAACATGAGCAAGGCAGGACCAGAAAATGGTTATAGTTTGGTAAAGGGAAGCTAAATCAATTATTATGTGAGCGGAAGGGACAAAGTCAACTTGTAATATAGAAAAAGCCCCAAATCCATGAAGTACAAAAGATAAAGTCTATTCCCGCATCCTCCTGACAGCCTTGAATAGAGTATCAATTCTAAAGAACTGTGTTCAGTTGAGCCAAGGTGATTCATCAGGCTCAACTTGGCTGGGGCTCCAGGAGATTTCAGTGGTGCCTCGAGATGGAAACTTATCATTTCTATGATGGGCATATTTTTAGAGAACTGCAGGAAGTTGTGGGTGAACCCTGTACTTCCAGAATGGTGTGGGCAAGAAAGGTTCCAGGTGATGAGCTTTGTCTGACTTTGGTCTCTGGATGATGGATAGCCAATTAATGATGCGAAATACTTTGGGCAATACCCAGAATACAAACAAAGGACCAGGGTTACCATGCCATGTTGGTATATGAAGTGAGCCATCTGCTACCTCCAGAAGAATCCCATGCTGGCATTGAGAGGGATTGTGTCTATTATGAAATACAAACCTTCCTGGGAGTTTAGGGAGTATAGACAGCTACAGTGCCCCAGAGTTTTCCAGGTGCAGCCTGACCCTGATTCCTAACCACCACCACCCCCAACTTGGTCTTCTGTACTAATATCCACCCAGTCACAAAGGCAGACATCCAGACACCTAGGAATCATCCGTGACTCCACTGTCCCTCACCACCACACCCTCACCCTAATAGCCCAATCCAAAAACAAGTCCTGTAAACTGTCTCATTCCCCCACCCAATTCTACTGCCACTAATTACCCTGAAAGTAAATAACCAAGCAACTCAGAATCAGTAAGAAGTGTTAGAACATCAAAAATGAAGCTAGGTGGGGCGCCTGGGTGGCTCAGTCGGTTAAGCGGCCGACTTCGGCTCAGGTCATGATCTCGCGGTCTGTGAGTTCGAGCCCCGCGTCGGGCTCTGTGCTGACAGCTCAGAGCCTGGAGCCTGTTTCAGATTCTGTGTCTCCCTCTCTCTCTGACCCTCCCCTGTTCATGCTCTGTCTCTCTCTGTCTCAAAAATAAACGTTAAAAAAAAAATGAAGCTAGGTGATAAAGATTGTGTGTGTGTGTGTGTGTGTGTGTGTGTGTGTGTGTGTGTGTGTGTGTGTGAGAGACGGGGAGAGAGAGAGAAAAATGTAATAACCAAACACCACCAGAACTTCAAGGAAGTAAGATGGAATAAATCCATTCAACAACAACCTGTTTTGATTGTCTTTCACGTGTGAATCTCAGCTTGAAGGAACTAAAAGATAACAAAAGGACTGTTAAATATGTTAAAGAATAAGGTAGAATTGAGCATATTCCAAGGACCAACGTGAAGGAGGCTTTGCTGGCCTGGGGGTATGACTTTGGAAGGACCCGGCTCAGTATGGGATGGAATCAAGTGCCACAAGCCTCATCTTTATCTGTGCAGGTGACAGAGCTGCCAGCGGAGAGTGTTATGGGTGAACAGAAAATATGTCTCATCCTGACCATATCAGTTGATCTTGGCCGCCTCAATTCCAGCAATTAGCCCTGCCCAGACGACTCTTTCCCACTTGCAATCCTTGTCTGATTAGAGTCTGTTTTTGTTCTTGCCTCACTTTAAAGTTAGCTTTAAAAAAATAGTACATTTTTCTTTTCCCTCTATCTTTATGGTATTGTTTTTCTCTTAACTATTTAAATGTAAATCCTTCTAGATCATTCCCACTTTTTTTTGCCTTATGACTCTCAGCCTTTACCTTAATGTCTCTCTCACATTCTAGCTCCTGTGTAAAACTTCACCTTTTCAAATACTTCTAGTTATTCATTTTATTTTATCAGGATTGATCAACATGTTATTCTTAACATTTTTAGGCTTTTTTATTTTTTTATTTTCTAGTTCTTTGCTCTTCTTTTATTTTTTATTTAACATATGCTACTAAAAGCATGAATTTTGGAAACTTCTCATTTACAATGTTATCATTCCGGGGTTTTATTCCCCACATCTTCAGCTTTAAATTTGTCTTGATTTTTATACTCTCTCGTCCTCCCATTTTGATCTTTTCTTTCTTTGATCTTCCTTTTTTTTTCCAATTTTGAACTGTGTCTTTTAATCAAAGATCTATCTCAGCAGCTGTAAATGGCATCTAACGATTATTACACGTTGAAAGAAAAAGAATGACATCCAAACTCATTAAACCCAGAATGTTTATACCTTTGTTTGGTTGGAGAATTCACTGCAGCTGGAGGTCTTTATAGGACAATACTTTACTTTTCTCCTGTACCTCACCCCCTGCCAGATGCCAGCCTCACATGACGCTG